TTCCGGTACATTATACTGGCTGACTACTTGACATCCATGACACGATTTACACACTCATTCAGCATCTATGTCCATCTTGGGCCACCATACTTTCGTTCTTAATCTGCTTTTCGTCTTACAATTCCTTGATGGCCTTCATGTGCCGCTTCCAAAACCTTTCTTCGCAACATCTGAGGAATAACGATTCGATTCCCCCGTAAAACAAGTCTACCAATCATGCAGAGCTCATTCTTACACACGCATATGCCGACAGTTTACATTTAGTCCAATCTCCCGATTCGATATAGTATCGCACACTTTGTAATTCAGCGTCGATTTCTGACGCTCTCTCTATTTCTTTAGTCGTTAAGCCACGGGTGTCGCTTGTATGGCAACGAAACGGATGACGTCCTCTTTCTCGCTGCTGTGGTCTTTTGGACTCTTCTGGTTCATTCTAGACAAAGCATCGGCAATGTTCGTCTTTCCAGGCCGGTAAACGACCTTGAAGTTGTGGCACTGAAGCCGTAATACCCATCTTTCGATCCTTGCTGAGGGTTTCGATGTCTTGTTGAAAATACACTCTTGTGGCTTATGGTCAGTTTCCAGTTCGAATTCACGACCATACACATATATATTAAACCGCTCGCAAGCCCACACGAGTGCAAGTGCTTCCTTCTCTGTTTGGGCGTATCGCCGCTCTACGTCCGAGAGGTTCCTGGAGGCATACGACACGCGCTCTCCACTGGTCTCCTTGCAGTTGTAGCAACACAGCTCCAATTCCCTCCGGCCCTGCATCCGCGACGATTCTCGTTTTGCAGTCGTTTCTAAAATAAGCCAGGGCTTCAGCCCTAGTCATCATCCATTTCAGCTTCTCAAACGCCTGCTGTTGCTCTGACCCCAAACGAACGACTGTCCCTTTCTTAGTACACGACGCAACGGCTCTGCAATCTGCGCAAAGTCCGGGATAAACTTTGCCGAATACTGTACTAACTGTACGAACGACCTAACTTCCGAAACATTTTGCGGTGGTCTAGCGTTGACTACAGCAGCAACTTTCTCTTCACTTGGTGCCACCCCTTTGGCACTGAGCTTGTGGCCAAAAAAGGTCAAGGCCGGAAGTCTAAACTGACATTTGTCCCCATTTACGGTAAGACCTTTCTCTCGCAGACGTGTTAGTACTTTAAAAGATTCTCATCATGCTCGGATAAATCAGCCCCGTAAACAATAAGACATCCGCAATATTTGCCACCCCATTGCACCCTGCCAAAACATCTGAGATTATTTTCTGGTACTCTCTGGAGCTGAAGTAATTCCGAACATCAGTCGACGATATCTATATAACCCCCGGTGTGTCACGAACGTCGTAATGTCCCTTGAATCCTCTGTGAGTTCCACTTGATGAAACCCCCATTTGAGGTCTATCTTACTAAATACCGTTGCTCCATTTAAATCATACAAAACTTCTTCTATGGTCGGAATAGGATGTCTTTCCCTTACAATCGCCTCGTTTGCCCTTCTCATATCGATACAAACTCGAATATCCTTTCCATCTGCTTTTGGAACAACCACTAATGGTGAAACCCACCTTGTAGGCGTTGCTTCTGGCAATTCTTCGATAATACCCATGTCGAGTAACTCGTCTAACTTATCGTCTACTTTGTCCCTTAGACCGAATGGCAGTCTACGCACCGGCTGAGCAACTGGTATAACATCCTCATCGATATGCAGTTTCAGCTTGTAATCCTTAAGTAGTCCGACTCCAGTAAAAATATCAGCAAACTCCTCACGAATATCTGAATCACTTCCCTCTTGTGTGACCGTGTTAACAGTTCTTATTATTTCTTCAGGTCCAACCCTGAGTACTTTCAATTGTTCGGCTGTTTTCTTCCCCAATATAGGCCTTCCGTTCTCTTTAATCACAGTGAAATCGTCTACACATCTTTCACTGTTTGCCTCGCACACAATCTCTGCTGTAAATGTCCCTACAACGTCGATTGGCTCTTTCTGTCCATACGCAAACAGTTTCTTGTCTGATACCCTTGACTCGCACCTAACATGTTTTCTTTTAAGATAGTTCCAGAGTTCACAATCAATTACATTACATGTTGCACCTGAGTCAATTAAAATACTTTCTAGTTTCACTCCTCCAATAATTAGATCCACCTGACCCATATCTTTTGTCCATGCCCACCAATAACAAAGGCATAGTCATCTCTTGTTGGTGTTTTTCCTTCTTCCTCAGAGACTTTATATGCTCTTTCTCCTCCTTTTTTTCTTTCTCCTTGTTGTGCTTCTCCCCTGCTTTTTTGCAGCAAGCTGAGAAGTGACCTATGATTCCGCATTTATTGCAGCTCTTGGACTTTGCTGGACAATTTGCGTCTCGAGCAAAATGCCCAGTTTATTACAGTTGTAACATCGTCGTACGTTATCCTTGTTGTCGTGCCCAGTCCCCTTGGCTGAGTATCTGCGCTCTTTCTGATCTGTGTTGACCTTTTTCTCTTTTCGTCCGCTCCAACGCGATTTATGACTCACAACGTTTACTGTATTCGAACCTTCCATTGATTTCAACTGCTCTTCTACCGCCTCATATGCCCGCGCAATATCTTGTAAATCCTTGAGTGTTGCATTAACGCGTTCAAGAAACTTCCGTCTAAGCTTTGAGTCGCCACATTTCTCAATTAGTTGGTCTCGAATTGCTTCTTCCACGTTCTGAAATTCGCACGCACGTAGTAGCTTTTTGCCTAAGACGCGAAACAAAATGATCCACTTCTCGCCGTTCATCTGACTCATTTGACGAAACTGGTGTCTCTCAAACGGTAGATTCACTTTAGGGACGAAATACTCATCCAAGACCTTGACGCAATCCTTAAACTCTTTCTCTTTGTCTTCGTTTACTAAGTAAAATATAGTTCTTGCAACTGCAACCCCCCCGTATGCAGAAGTAATGCCACTTTCTGTTTGTCATTTATTACTCCCTTTGCCGTTAAAAACACATTAAATGACCGCTTCCAGCGCTTCCATCTCACAGCCAAATTCGTTGGGTCTTCCCTGGGGTTAAAGCAAGGAAGCCCTTTGACGTCGCTTGTCAATAAACTTGCTTGAGCGCCTGCCGGATTGCCGTTTGTCCTGCGCCATCTTCGTCCGCGACAGACATTTCAAATATTTTCGCTAAATACTACACTCCCGATTGGTAATCTTGCCAAATAGTAGTATTGTCCTGGCCGTATAGTGGGATTTTTTATAGTGGGATTGCTGAGTCAGCAATGTGACGTCATAATATCTCGCGTAAATTTTATAGTGGGATCTCTAATGTGACGTCATAATAACACGTGCTTATATCTAATATTACGTCAGAGCTAATTACGTAATGATGTCTAATATTCTATACAGTGGATTAGGATTAGGATTAGGATTAATGGGGTTATTTTAAATCCTAATTCTCTTGTGACGTCATTCATAATTATTGCAACGTGTTTGTTATTCTTTTATAAAGCACGTGTTTTTTCATTTCAGCACGTGTTTTTATATTTTAGCACGTGTTTCTTCTATAAAGCACGTGTTTATTCTATCTTATAAATATATGTTGCTGTTGTGTGCTTCTTTTATTATTATATAATTCTTCACAGATAATAATAATAATAATGTCTAGCTTACCGCATACTACTCATGAAGTATTGTGTGATCGGAAATATAAGGAGACAGGAGGTGAACTGGGAGGTGAACAGGAGGATATAAGCAAAGTGCGGGAGGAGGACAGAAGGACCGGTCTCAATACAAGAGAGGATTATTACAGGGGATATACCTATACGCATGGGATCTCACTCCGGATACGTGCGCCTCACCCCTAATGTTTAGCTTATCAGATACCACTCACGAAGTATTATGCGATCAGAAATATAAGGAGACAGGAGGTGAACAGGAGGATATAGAGACAGGAAGTGAACAAGAGGATATAAGCAAAGTGCGGGAGGAGGAGGAAAGAAAGAATAAGATAAATATCATGCGTAGTGTGGGTTGCGACTGGCCCGTGGAGGATTTCGAGTATTTTATGTCTAAATAGAATATGTGGATATACATTATTACTTAAGTAGCGGTGTTTTTATAAAAAAGCACGTGCATTTATGTTAAGAGCACGTGTTGTTAATTTTATAAATATGTAATATTTATGTATTTTTATATCATTTCTATAATGGCTGGCGGTGTTGATGTTAGTGTCGATGTTGTTGTTAATCAAATTCAAGATATAATTATCGATAGCAAGGCTCCAACAAAACGTGCCATCAGAGGTTTATTTTATTGTCAACAGAGGACATATGTGAGACCATTGGATATTGATTCTATGATTACGTTTGTTCAATTACTGAGAGTTCATCCTCTAAGAAATCAGTTGACACAAGCACTCAGGACGGTGTTTATTTATATGGTTCATTATATTTTAAGGGCCGATATTGTGGAGATTCTTACTCAGTATGCCAATATACGACCTGGGAAGTATTGTATAGAGATTCCGCTTTATTTTACGACTCACAGTGTTCATGTTTACGAGGAGTATGTTGATGTATGGGGACACCACAGAGATGTGTTAAGATTACCGCGTGGAATGTTCAGATGTGACTCTATTGTTCAGATTGAGGATAAACTTTATGGAATGTGTACATATCAGGATTATAGTTTAATACATAAAGTTGTAAAGAGTGTTTATGCTGATATGAGAGCAAACCATAATTTGAATTTTATTCGTGTTGGTTCTTCTCTTGTTAAAAAGTTATGTACACATATAGATAATGATGTATTATTGAATGTGGCGATTACTAGACAATCATGGAGTTTGAATAAAATAGCAAGGGTTTGGTTAGTTCGTATAATATTTTAATTAGTAGTAATAGCACGTGTTTTTATTCAATGAGCACGTGTTTTTTGAGAGTATAAATTTTGATGTATTGTAGAAGCTTTTTTAGAAGTGTGTTAGTTATGAGATGAACAGAGGATTTTTTAACTATGGATGTAATTTATGATGAACTTTGTAAGAGCAATGTTGATATTGATGTATTAACTTTATCGTTTCATGTTGGAGAGATTTATGAGAAATATACAGATACATATAACGAGATTTTGGGAGCATTATCTTATGAGGATTTATTTAAGATATGGGAATTGATGCGCCCTAGCAGTTTTGGGCATGTTATATCTTATTTAACGTTGGTATACGCGGCGGGGAGTGTTTCTGAGGAGGAGAGACGTAGAGCCACGAGGATTGCAATACCTGTGTTAAAAGCTATTGATCTATCACCATACAGAGAACGAGCAAAAAAGAAGAGGAGGGAGATGTGGGGTCGTTTTTTAGAATAAGACCTATATTGTTTATATGTATAATTATGGGTTATTTATTATATGTTATTGTGAGAAGTATAAGAGAAGTATATATGTTTTATTTAATTCATTTATACTTTTACTTTCATTATGGATGTAAGGTTTAAGGTACCTGCAAATTTTTATGTATCGGGTCAAAGTCAATGTGGAAAGTCATATTTAATACGAAAAATATTATATTATATTAATGAGATGTTTCATCCTGTTCCATCTAAGATTATTTATTGTTATGGGGAGTATCAAAAGGAGTTTGATGATTTATATAACATAGAGTTTGTGGAAGGATTTCCCTCTGATTTGGATGAGATGACAAGGGGGCATGAGCAGTCATTAATAGTTTTGGATGATTTAATGAGTGAATGCTCTAAGGATCAACGTGTGTCTGATTTATTCACGCGCGGTTCACATCATAAAGGCATTTCTGTTTTTTATTTAACTCAGAATTTGTTTCCTCCCGGAAAATTATCAAGAACAATTAGTTTGAATTCACATTATTTTATCGTATTCAAGAACCCTCGTGATTCTCTTGGTATTTCAACTTTGGCCAAACAGATGTTTCCAAGACGTGCACAGTATTTAATGGATTCTTTTAATAATGCAACGAGGGAACCTTTCTCATATTTATTAATTGACTGTCATCCTCAAACCCCGGAGAGTATTCGTTTACGTACAAATATTTTACCTGGGGAGAGACATATTGTATATATGCAAAGGTAGAATGAGTTATGTATTCATTTGTGTTACTCATTTGAATTAGGATGACATCAAGAAATATATCTGTTTTTATTGCTGGTAATTCCAGGAAAGTGACATTCAGGGAACCCTTCTTGACACGTGAGGGGTCTACTATTGTTGTGAAACAAGTTACAGTATTTTGGAAGTTTAAGAATATTACAAGTGATAATAACAAGTTTACGATTGTGAAGAATAATGTTGAGGAGGAGAAAACACTTGAGACTGGGTATTGGGATTTTCAACTTCTAAAAGAGCGTTTGGAAGGAGAACATATTACATTATCACCCAATGTTCATGACAATACATGTACTATCGGTTTTGATTCAACAAAAATGACTTCAGTAAAATTAAAGAAGTTTGGCAAGATACTTGGTTTCCCCGAGAATTATCATTTAAGCGTAGAGAAGAAGTCACCAGGCCCTGTGGATGTAAATCATGGTTTGAGATATCTTACCATCTCGTGTGATCTTATTGATTCACTTAGAAGTGTCGATGTTGAAGGTGGAAAGAGTACGGTTCTTGCATATTTACCAGTTACTCCAGATACAAGACTGAATTCTTCTATTTCGGAGTATACAAATGAGAATTATCCAACAATTCCAATTCAATCGGATATTGTTACTAAAATGACATTTACAGTTGGTTCTAATATAAATGTTCCAGTGGATGTTGACGTTCTCTTAAATCTTGTAATTGATTTATAAATATATAAATATTTTTAATAAAGTTTCATTTACAAGATGTCAGAGTATATAGAAAGAACTCTACCGTTTATACAGGTGTTAGCAAAATCAAAACCTCAAATACAGAAAGCCATTTTTCAATACGGACCGCCGGACCTGATTTTAGCACTTAGCGAGATTGTTTTGAACACACTTAAAGGGGTAATTCATTTAACTCCACGTCAGAAGCGTCGTTTAACGCGTTACAAGAAAGAACTGCGCGCGTTAGTAAAGAGAAACGTTTCAATTAGGAAGAAGAGGAGATTCTTAGTTCAGAAGGGTAGCGGTTTTCTCTCGATGCTTGTACCATTAGCTTTATCCGTGTTACTTAAGGAGTGATGAAGC